TTCATTACAGTGGTGTGTAATAAAATGTCGGAGGGGAACAGATCAGATCATTCAGTATAAATAATTTAAAACGTTCAGAGATATGGTTTTCGTATTTGATGCAGATAAAACCCTTGTATTGCTGGAATGGATGGGGGGGGGGAACTTGACGCCAATGTGATGGTTCCTCTGGATGGGGGTATCTTCCACTTATTGATGAGTACTAAGCTCTCAGAAACATGGTTTGTTGAGCTCCAGATATCGGTTAGAGCACGACAAGGGACTCCATTGACCTCGAGATCCACAACCGATTTTGAGAGGCACGCAGGAGAGTTAGCCGCGATCGTTGCTGATATCGATGAGCAGGCGGCAAATGAAGTGTGATTTTGTTGGCTCATTCGAAGTGATCTTTTTTTACCACAACCCTTACAAAGACTATCCCTTGTGGGACACTTTGGGCGAGGGTGCTTGTCGAGTCCACAGAAAGAAAAACACTTGGGGCGGACTATGGCGACTATGCTATCGTTAGAGCACTCTGTCGGAGATTTATGAGAGCCTGGGGTAACGAATCAGGGTGCGCGAATAGTCACTTTGTGCGAGACAGTAGGAAAGTTCTGATAGGACACGGTTTGTTGCTCTGCCATTTCTAGGGCTCTCGCCTCACCAAGGGCATTTTGAAAAATCAGCGAAATTTAATTTTACTAGTAAATGCATATCGGGGAGCATCATCTCAGTTTTCTTCGTTATATATATATTCTTACACGTCTACATCCAGATTGTGCCAAACAAATCATTGTACAATAATTTTTATAAAAAAAGAAAAACGTTCTATGATTTGCATGTGGGCTACCAGGTTGCCCAGGCCAAGAAAAATGAATTTTATTGAGGAATCCACAACCGGAGCCTTCGGTTAACCAAAGTCTGACCCGCAAGGCAGCCGGGCGGTGTAGAGAAACCGCAATTCATTGGGGGCCGGTGTCCAGTTCATCGGATCATCCGCCTTTCGGACGGGGTCAAACGTCCAAAATGCCCAATCGAGCCGGTGACCACTTCCACAACCGAAAAGGTGTGAATGTGGTTCGTACGCCTCCTCATGATTGGTTTGGAATCAGGGTTTTCGGCCAACTCCCCCAGGTGAACTGCCAGTGGTCCACCAACCCGGATATCGGCTTTTCGTCCTCTCACTTTGGTGAGAAAACAACTCTGCCGCGAGAAGGCAGTAAGTAGGGCTTCCTCAGCAGAGGCTATTGAGACGCTTGTTAGTATCGGAGTAGTTCGCGAGGTGCAAGAAAAGGGTGACCAACCGAAACCCTAGACGCCCACCCCCAACCATACTGAGACTTTCGGAGGCTTCTTCGTTGTAGTGGACCTGAAGAAGCAATCTCTTGCTAGGGACTTTAAATTCTGAACAAATTGATCCCGAGTTTGTCCATTATCCTGTTCGGTTGTGGCGAGAATGTGATGGACGAAGACCTTATTTTTAGGGTGCACTTAGCGGTTACTGAGCATCTCCATTGCCATTTCGTAGGTTTCACCTTCAACGACATGTTCGCAGGCAGCAGGAGATATGTATGAAATCAATCCAGTTTGTCGGGTTTTAAATGATTCACTGACTTGAAGTGGGAGAGAGTCCTGTACCAATAATTTCATTGCCTGGTAACATCTGGTGAATTAGGTTTAACATTGAACCGTGTGAGGCACAGTATATGATCCGTTGCTGTTTGTTGAATAAATTATAGTAGCAAGGCAAAACACAAAAAAAAACAGAACGAGGAAGGCTCCAACGTTAGGCTGAAAAAGAGAGGAAGTATGAGATAGAAAAGCGACGTAAAAGATCACTGTTCATCACACCAAAATGTGCAATAAAAACGGGAATCCTTTAATAGAGATGTTTGTTCACAAGTGCATCATTTTAACCGCCGTGTGGAATTAGCTGTTTCATTTGTGAACCTCAATTGCCAACGTTAGGAGCTGATAACTTAGTGTCTATATTATCCCATAAGTTCACTCCTAATGCTCATCGCCAAATCTTTGAGTAGAATTACAGCCACTTTACATTTTATTTTTAGGACGAAGATGAGGCTTCCTGTCAAACCGCTCAATCAGACACCTTAGCGGAGGAAAGCGATTTGACACGAGAGTTTGACGATCCCGAACCAATTCATAGAGTCATGCATGTGCCCGTCACTGCCAGCAACGGACCACCTGTCTCCTCCAGTTCACGACCTTCACGAGCGTCTAGTAGCAACGCACAAGGTGGAGAAAACGCGAGTGGGAGATCCATTTTATTTGATTTAGACGAAGATAACGATGGGGGAGAAGCTGCGGACACGTTGGTGGGTGTCAACGATTCCCATGTGCATCCGTCAGCAGGTACTGTGCAATTGTGTTGATTTCACATTTGTGATAATAACGAACTAGGAAAAATTCCGTTGGTTGTTTTTTAATCTGTACGTTTGTTAATAGAATACGATCCATTCAGGTAAATGCCTCAACAATGCACACAGAGACTGAAGCTTTTAACGCATTCGTCATTTTCTTTCTTCAGCTAATTTCGTGATTTGTATATGTTGGTTTTTGAATGTGCACCCTAAGTGGTTACAATGAAAATCAAATGTGATTGGAAGCGAATGGCGAAAATATGTGAACGTCGTTCGTGTCTTTTGTTCGATTATGTCTAAACGGTAGAATTTGTACATATCTTGGGAATAAAACTGTCATCAAACGACTAAGATATTTCCCCATTCGTCTGTGCCTTTTTGGACGATATTGTTTTGATTACTCTTTAGAAGTGGACCTCAAAGTTCCCCCTTTTGGCAGCCAAAGATGAACTGTTTGCAACTCGAATAGGTATCCTAACTTCTATCACTCCGCATAAGTTGGTAAAGTAAGCCTTAAAATATTTGTATCACTGTGTACCGATGAGATACAGCTACAGAACAGCTGCATTTCATATCCTCAGAAGCAGGGCAGTTACCGAAAAATGACCATGTTGATTCAAACAGTAGCGAAATTCTGTGGACCGATTCCGATGGGTTTTAGGCTCTAACTACAATCCCCTGGGGTAAGCGCCAACAGTTTGTGTTCTATTTTTTTTAGCGCAACATCGGCCACCTTCCACGTTATGTTTCTTCGACGAATTATGACGCTGTTGTGCAAGCTGATGATCGGTCGAGAAGAAAATTATGAAAATTCGCACTCTATCCATAGTGCCATAATGGTTTTATTGCAGTTGTTCTTAATGATGAGACTTACTTAGCTACATTATCCTCACGCGACGTGATGATTATCATGATTCCCAGTAAGGAAACCTTCGGTTTCGAGGTTTTTATAATCATTTGTATTACAATTCCGCCTCTAAGCCTCTTGTCTCGAACGCATGTGTAACTAAAGCTGTTTCTAAAACGTAAGTTGGAAATCTCTTTTATTTCAAGTTTCCTCTCCATCGTTTTCTCATCTCATTCGATCGCCAGTAAAATTATGTTATTTCCTTGATTACTTTAGGGGACGGTATCAATGATGATCTGCGACACACTGGTTTGGCTTCCGGTCATACCGATATGAGTGTTACAGAACAAGCACATTGTATTGTCATTCCGTCGTATTCCGCGTGGTTCGATTATAATGCGCTTCATGGAATTGAGCGACGTGCGCTTCCTGAATTTTTCAACGGTCAGAACAAGAGCAAAACTCCGGAGGTTTATCTTGCTTATCGGAATTTTATGATTGACACCTATCGTTTGAATCCACAGGTAAGAATGTCAGTGATCTTTCATACCGGTTATTCAAATAATTCTGAATGAATTGGCAATATTTCGGTTCCTTTTCTTTGGTCAAATTGCTGTCATTACTAACAAGGAAATAGTTGTGAAAAATATTCAAGTCTATTCGATTTCGCTTATTGATTGTTAACACTGCTTCTTACACGCATATTTTTGCTTTCTGTTAATCATTAAAGTCTGGTTCGATTTCAACTGTGCGGATTGGTTGAGCCATGTAGGATATGTTCACATTCACGTCGTACCAGCNCCCCCCCCCCCCCCCAAATGAATCTAAATGAAGAACTTATTGATCCACGAGAGAAATGTTGTGTATATCGCCCTTGATTTCTCGCAAAATGTGATGACGTTTTCCACGAAGTATGGATTCAGAAAGCTCTGCTTACCTTGTCTCCATAGTACAAAAGCAGGTTTCAACGATGTCTGATCGGAGGAGCATCTATGGGAAGGTAGATGATCATGTTCCTCGGAGTTAATTTAACTTCTTCACTCCCCATCAGTAGCCCATTTTTCTCCTTGCTAGGCAATGTGACGTGCCACATCCGGTGAGACTGCTCAACAGGAAGGCCAATCAAATTGGGCACAACCGAAGCTTTAAATTACTGACTAAACAGCGTACAATATGCAACAGTGTATTCTTTAGTTGGTAGAAAAGTTCTTCTCAACGCCTGCTTCAACAGCTAAGAAAACTGTCCACTTGGCAGAAGGGCTTGACTACCGGAACTAAATCCACACCACTCGATTTGCAAACGAGCTCCTAGTAACCCACTGGCAACCATGTGGTTTTCACACACCGCTCCACTGCATTGTGGGTCAGTCTTTGACTATCCGAAGGCTCCGGTTGTGAATTCCTCAAGAAAATTCACTTTTCTTGGCCTGGGTAACTTGGCAGTATTCAGCCCACATGTAAATCATAGAACGCTTTTCTTTTTTTTATAAAGATCATTTGCCGTGCTTTGTTTGGCACAGCATGCACCAGAACATAGCTGAATTGCAGTCCTCATTTGGTTGTTTTACGACTAGACGTGCACCCTGCGAAAAAACTGGGTGAGGCAGAAAACGTCTCTTGTACCAAAAACCCACGAAACTTCATGAGACGGCAAATCTACCTCACAACAAACCAGAGCTCACCACCAATATTCATGTTCATTCCTGATTTACGTATCAACTTTTATCATCTATAACCTGTTTCTCTTAGGCATGTTACATCTCACCTTTTTGTACAAGTAATCCTGCACGCTAAGTACGATTGGCTAAATCCCATGATTTTTTATTAACCACAAATTACTTCTTCCTCACTCTACCAGGAATACTTGACGTTCACTGCTTGCAGGCGTAACTTGACTGGGGACGTTTGCGCCATTTTGCGAGTTCATGCATTCTTGGAACAATGGGGCCTAATCAACTACCAGGTCACTGCACCTCTGGCTCCGTCCACCGGTGGTGGAGCCACAGAAGCTGCACGCTTAGCTGTGGCGGCAAGTTTGGGTCCACCTAGTACGGCACACTTCCACGTTTTGGCCGACAGTGCCAGTGGTCTCCATCCAATAGGGCCACAAAACCAATCAGCCTTAAGTGCTACAACGACAGCCAACGCAGCTGCTTTGCCCGAAGGATCAATAGCTGACGGAACCAAAACGACTACCACGTCGGCAGCAGAAGTGTCGTCCAGCGCCAATGGAGTTTGCAAACCTGAAGGGCAGGTAAACATCTAGATCGATATAATCCAATCAAACGTTTTCCAATTGTTGTAAAAATATTGTTTTTGCTTACAAACAGGTTTTGAGTTGTTCCTAATCGTTTTACTACGAAACATTAAAAAAGAGAAAGGCGACTCAGTCGCACTTTCAAGTTTGGGTGAGGGGATTACTTCGAATTAGGTGAATGATTGAACTTGCTAATGAGTAGCCTCTGTTTTAGATTAGGATCTGTTTGTCGCACAATTTTTGTGAGGTGTCCTATTTTCTTAGATCGAATGTTCCAAAACGAATAAATAGATGCAGTAGCAACTAATCACATCTCTCCTTGATGTACTGAAACAGAAAACTACCTTGACGCTGAATTGTCTTCGGCTGTTTGCATAGCATACTCACTTGAAACTGAGTTTATGTGCTACTTTTGGTAGTAGGCAGCTCTACTGTCGTCCGGTTCAATACCACGCATAACCTATCGGAGCCTTATGTGGTTCACCACTTCAAGTCCCGGGGCTTAGGTTGCCGGTTTCCACCACTGAACAGCAGGTCTTCGTGACTATGGGGTTCACCCCGTCTGCTGTTAATCACACGTGGGTGTGTGATAAAAAGCTTCTGTTGACGGGTAGAGATAACGAACATATGACTTATGTTCACATCGAAATCCAAAATAATATCTTATCCGAATCGATATCTATGTTTTCTGACTCATCCGAAGCTGAACGTCCACAGTATTCACCATAATCTTGGGTTATATACGTGTAACTAATGCTTACCATCAACGATAGTCCGAACTCAGACGTATGTGAATATATGTATATCAACCCTCCCCATAATACTAGATTTGCTAATCAAACTGTTTTCCAACTTCACTCGTTTTAAACGTGAAGTATCATCTGAGCAAATAAATGGTGGTTTTTCTTTAGTCATTAGTTTTAAAACATTTAGCACTTCATCATTGTCACAATGTCTATTCTCTAAACGTTTATCAGCCAACTGATGCAGGCGCTACAACTGGAAGCACCGGGTCTGCAAATGTCATTGGTTCATCTCAACCCAACAGCGCCGCACTGACAAGTAAACCTAATGCGTCGACAGGTGATCCCGCTCTCCGTACTGATCAGTACTTGAACAACGCCAGTACCATTCGTAACACAGTACAGGCTCCCGGTGCGACTGCTGGTGACCTTCGAGCCAGCCATGGATCTGCTCCTTCAGTTCAATCAGAAACATCCGCAGAGGTGAAACCAAATTCGACCCTCCTTCGAGGTGCATCTCAAGGTGGCTGGAGCGATCAGGAAACTCTGCTACTTCTCGAGGCCCTGGAAATGTACCGTGACGATTGGAATAAGGTATGCCGGTGTATAAAGTTCTCTATGTCTCATTGTCTAGAGTTTCTAGACACAAATTCACTGCAAGACTTAATCAATGCGAATCTTACCCCTATTTATAATTCTCTTTCGACAGGTTGCCGAGCACGTAGGGAGTCGAACACAAGAGGAGTGTATCCTCCACTTTTTGCGTTTGCCCATAGAAGACGCCTATCTAGAGGGATGTGACCCGGTAATCAATTTGACCGCCCTAGCCAACACCAGCCACCCTCTTCCTCCGTTCTCCAAGGCCGCGAATCCAATTCTGTCCACGGTCGCCTTCTTGGCTGCAGCTGTAGATCCTCGTGTTGCCGCAGCTGCAGCACAAGCTGCTCTGACGGAGTACGCAAAAATGCGCAATGAAGTTCCTGCCGGTCTATTGCACGAACATAAAGCGCGCGTAGAGGCTGCAGTTCGAAACGGAGAACATGTTGACCCTAGTAAGTTCGGTTTAGACGAGGTTGGTGGCGATGATCGAACCAAAATATCGACGGAATTGAAAAAGGTCCCTGAGTTATCCCTCGGTGCTGAGACGACTACGGTGACTACTCCAAAGGAATCTGAGAAGTCAGAGGTAAAGTCACGCTTTCGTTTGTTATTATTTTTGCCTAAATTCCTTCCGTCTGTTCAATAAAAACGTATATATTTATTATGTGGACGCTACATTTCCGTGCACCAACCCAGTCTAGTTGTCCCTTGAGGAAATGTTAAATAGAACGGTCCTACTTGTATTGCTAGGATTCGCAAATTTGATGTCACCGTATAGCTTGAATAACCTGTAGTGATTGAGAATGTGGCATTTTCAAGAGTGTAGAAACACTGCCCATGCCAGGTAATTTAGTTTGTGTTGAGTGCATGACATTATAATTTGGTGATTTCTATCAAGACCTCCGGCTAATAAAAAAACTGTCTGACGAGAAAGTGGTTGATGAGGCACAATGCAATAACGATTTACTTCATTTTGTTGGTGATATTATCCCCATATCTTCTTGAGGGAGGGAGGGGCAAGGAGTAGTCTCTGAATGCCCAATAATTTTCCCACACACTTATCTGACTGAGCATCATCCCGAGATAAGTAGGTTTAAGTTTGTCAAACATCTTTTGTTTGTAAAAGGTTTTGGAACTGCAATACTTCCTAATGTTTCATAGCCTGTGGCGATCGTGCATGGCCCATAAATCTTAAACGTGTATCATAAACTCTTGATGGGCCGTCATTGGCTCCTAAACAACTGCAAAAACTGTAGACGGATTGATCGCAATTTACTGTCAATCAAAGTTTCAATGTGAAGACGTCGGAAAATTAATTTAACGATTAAGGTTTTTGCCGTATAGACAATCGCACTCTCGGATTCTTGTTATTACATCACAAAGGGTGCCCAAACAGCCACCGAAATTCGTACCAGTTGATGAAAATTTATTTTTTTGCTCTTTTAGACCATGGACACTTCTGTAGGAGGTGATACACTTAATAGTGGGGAAGCGGAAAAAGTAGAAGACGCTCAAGGTCCAGGGGATATACCTGCTGCCGCTCAGTGCGACTCAACATCGGCCATCTCTCAACCAAGTATGGAGAAATCGGATGAACCGGGCGATGTGATTGAAGCCTCTGAAACGACCGAAGCGGTTGCGCTCAAATCCGCGGACGTGACCATGGAAGACAATACTCAAGAATCTCTCAAGTCAGGAGAAACTCTGGCGTCTGGTACTGACGAGAATCCGCCAGCGTTGCAGACGGCACCAACCGAAAAAGATGCCACAACGGACAAAGAGCAAGTATCAAGTGAAAAATCGAAAATAACGTCTCCAACAGAACATTCTCAAACAGAAACTGGCAAAACGTGTGAGAGTAATTCAATACCACCTAATCCGGATAGTTTGGGCACCGCAGCCGCATGTGCGTTAGCTGCTGCTGCAACGAAAGCAAGACATTTGGCCGGGGTGGAGGAAAAACGAATCAAGGGATTGGTCGCTCAGTTGGTTGAAACACAGCTGAAAAAGTTGGATATAAAACTGAAACAGATGCAGGCAAGTTGACTTCATCACTCGCTTATTTTCCATTCAGGCTACTTTGTTGACTGTATTGAATGTTTTAATGTACGGTGTTGCCACTGTATCACACTACCACTGTTTTAGTTACCTAAGAACAGCTGTATACCTCATCCTTCATTTCTGATGAACTGTTATCAGTCTGAAATTGATTCAATTCTGTCATCAAGGCATGATACGGTTTTGGTACAGGGAACAAAGTGTTTTTTTGATCTGTTAAATAATTTGTTACGTAATAATAGTAAACAACATTCAATCATTGTATGCTGTAACGTAAGCACTGGTTCCTCTCGTTTCGGATGAGCGTAAGCAGCTTGAGATGGGCAACAAATCCGAAAAGTGTTTAGAGATTTCTGTTCTGAGGTTTCAACCACTCGTTGAAAGTGCTCTTGGTCGACCTTACAAACTTAACAAAAGTAGTGTTTCAAGGATGGATTAACTCTAGGGGGTTTACTTAGTGTTGTAAATAGTCTTCAAAACTTGTTTTTTGAATACTTTTTAGTATTAGCTACAGAACCGTAGCTTTACTCTACACTAACCCCATTGTACCGGCGCTCTATTTTGTTCTTCACTTGTTGTCTTTGCTGACTTTGCTAGTTTTCATTAAGAACCTGTAGTTCGTTTTGTCGATGTTCCTTCCTCTCCGTACATCATATCAAATAGTGAAGATGGAAAATAGGCTCGTCGAGTGGTTAAGCAGTTTAAGTCGATATCACGCATGCATCGGATCTAGACTCCAAGATTCGGACCCCGATACCTAACTTTTATTGGTAGGCATACTTGTTGTGATCCTAGAGGAGTCTTATGCGGTTCACCATTT